TGAATACAATATTCTCTTTGAGTGTCTTATTCTGAATCCATGCCTCTTGTGGTACATAAGCGACACTTCCCTTAACACAAGCCTTTCCCTCAAGAATTTCCAATTCACCCAAAAGTGCCGATAAAAGTGATGACTTCCCGGCGCCCACTAAACCCACGACAGCCACTAATTTCGGTTCAAACACTTCCAGCGATATATTCTTCAGAACCGGAGGAATATCTTTATCCCAAGAAAATGTCGCATTTTTTATTGATATTAAAGTTGTTTTGTGTATATCTTTAAAAACGGTGTTTTCATTAATTTCCTTAGCGTTAATGAATTTATTGATTCTGTTAAGGGATACCAAACTCTAAAATTTATTAATAGTAATTATTCACAAAAAAATGCAATGCATTAAAAATGTAATACCGTGGCACCCGTTGATAGTAATATAGGACAAAATCCAATGGGTTGTCCTATAGAAATGAATTATCGCGTTAATAATTTAAATATTTGTTAACTAATAATATATAACTTACTCATTAAATTGAACAATGTCAGAGAAACAAACGCTTTATTAGCGTCTAGAATATTATTTGGAGAAATTAAGATGAATGTAATAAAACTGATTAAACCAATCTATTAATAAAAATAACAAATAAACTATAAATAATTAAATTGTACATGTTATGAGATAGATTGATACATACAAAGAAATGTGCTGAAAGAAACATAAATGTTACAGAGCCTTCATAAATGGCTCTATTATTCAATGCCTTCACCTCCAGATCCCGAGCTTTAAGCACTTGGTCTTTGAACGCCTTCTCCCAGGCATACAATTTCAATACTTTAATACCATTTAGTATTTCATTCAACACTTTAATCCTCTGATCCTTAACTCGCATCTGAATTACTTGATATTTCTTCACTTTATGAGCGATATATGCATTAAATGGCAATAAAATGCACAGAAATGCGAGTCCGGCGAGAGTTGCGACACCTAATTGTTGCCACAATAATACCGAAGCAATAAATATATAAAGGGGTGCCGACCATAAGTAGTTTACAATTAATATAAAGTCTATTATTCTTTGAATGTCGACAGACATCAGGTTTACTATTTCACCCGAAGTGAAATCCCTTCGACCACAACTCGATAACTTTAAGCTCTATATTTATAATGAAGTTTACATTACATTGTTACTTTACATTAGTTGCAGTTTTTTTTATAAAGATTGCTAAATAGAAAGTTGATTACCTTTTTATAAATGGTCGATATAAGAGTAGCTTTGATTCTCATCGCTATTAAATTAACCCAATAATCGTATTGACTGTTTAATATAGACTCAAACAGAGGGGTAATAAACATAAGGGAGGCGTAGAATAAACCCCTCCACTGGGGCTCAGCATTAGAGGGATTCATGAATGAAATGAGTCTATCGAGTACTATAGGGTTAATGAATGCCAAACAACTAGAGACCAGTTTGACTGCACTTACAATTAATAACTCCACCCAAAAACACTTTAATAGAGGAATCAAAATCTTGATGTAATATATCTTTTGGTTATCTTTTTGTGATTTACTTTTCCTTTCTGTCAATTGTGACCAAATATTATTGAATTTTCTGTATATATAATCAGTTGTGTTGTGAATATCCAAAGACCACATGTCTTTAGGTGTCAATGGTTTTCGGTATCCCTTGAATATGAGTTCATTAAACCAATTGAATGTGATTTGAGATAAAAATGACATATATTTTTTCGGACATTTCTTCTAATAATAAATAATAACAAAAAATAATAATTGTTTAAGAATTGTAAAGACTTTATATAAAAACTGATGAAATCATACATATCTTGAATTGTATTTTGTCGAGTTTGAGAGACCGGAAAGATATAATTGGACAACAATTATAGGATAGGAAATCATTCTCGCCGTTACTTCAAATTCATTGATAGAGAAATTCTTATTTTTAATAAAAATAAATGATATAATATTATTAAATTTAAAAATATCGTTTAATTACAAACTCACTGTTTTTGGATGAAAAATGTGCCGAATTATTGTAATATAATTAAAACCATTTCCAATTGATAAGAGTAACCAAAATATGAATACAGGAGCCGAAGAATAAATATTGTATTTCTGATTCATTTGTATTCTATGTATGAAATAAATCTGAAACAGAATTACTGTAAAAGTCAATACTATCTATAAAATCAATGTATCAAAAATCAAATACTTATTAACCAAATTAAATCAATACTTACAAAAGTAAGTGATTTAATAATAGGTGTTATAAAATCAATTAGTGATAGATTCATATCATTTTCTACCCAATATTGATAACAAGTGTAAAATAATTGAATCATATTTATTACAACTAAGATTAGGGCCAAAATCTACAGAAATGATTGAATGAATAATTGAAAACATTAATTCATATTAAATAATATTACGATTTTGGTTAAGTCTGTGACAGCCCACGGAAGTGCTGTCTTCTCCGTGTCTTTCTTGAAGAATGTCTTCAAACTCTCACAAAAGGATAGTATGAAGAATACGAGACATGGAATCCATACCAATATTGTGTCCTCAAAACATAGGGTAAAATCGGGAATCTTTTTGCTATTCCACGAAAGATCCCAATCCTTATTAATGGATAATAATTTGAATACAAATTTTATTTCACATTCAATTGTTGTAATTATAACATGTAATTCATTTAAAAACTAAAACTTACCCAAAATATAGTGTTACAAATTGGTAACATTATGTGTAACACAATGGTTAAAATGTTATGTGTAAAAATTAAATTCAGTAAAAACTAGAATCACTAGAAAATGATTATAATGGTAACATTTACTTTCATTATTTATAAATTATACACAAATACATTAAAATATAATCTTAAATTGATAGACAATAGAAATAAACCAATTTTATATTAATCTCTCACCAACTCGTTCATCATTAATAAAGAATTGTAACGAAAATGCAGTAATAATATGCAAAATAAAATTTATTTCGCCTATATTTGGAATCAAAGGGCATTTCTAAATGTACTTTTAAATCAACAATAATATTTTTCAAATATTTAATACAATAAATTAATAAGTTTTAAAAGTCAGATAATACCATATAGTTCACAGTTGTATACATTATTCATAACAATAGAAAGATTTGAATAATTATTTATTATTTGAAAATTGCGTTAAATATAATAATAAAATAACATATTGATTATGTTTGCACATGATTATGTATACGAGAATATATTGCTTGCCATTGAAATCTCATTAATTTGTTTTAATAATTAGTTGATATTATTTCTGATTTAAATGTACTGCAGATTGATTCCGATCTAGTCGAATATTTTCACATGTTTCCACATTAATGATAATAAATCAACCATAGTGTGCATTTGGAAATATAGTAATGACAATATACAATAGAATCGCTAAATTTAGTATATATTTAATTTATATCATATATAAATTTAAATTATAACAGCCTTAGAAGTTTACATAGAATTGTTTCGACAGGTCTGTAACTGTAAATTTAACAATTAATTGCTTTATATAATATTAACTATAAGATAAACTATAATATATTAACTATAAGATCGTATTATATGTAAACTTTTTATTATAATGTTATTATAAAATATTACTAATTAAGAGATTAGACGAGATTTGCTTCTTTAGCCATTGAATAGAAGATAGAGTTAGTGTTTTGCAAGAGATGATGGGGTGAATCAAACTCGGCTACCATTCCCTTATCCATTACCAACACTTTGTCGTAATCTATGATTGTATTCAATCGATGAGCGATCGTAACAATAGTTGACAAACAAAACTCTTTTCTAATCGTCTCTTGGATTAAGTCATCCGTTTCCATATCAACCGCTAAATACATTAATAGAGTATTAGTTTACTATTGAATCAAATTACATGAGAAGACATACCAGCGGTCGCCTCGTCTAACACCAAGATCTTAGTTCTCCTCAACAGAGCTCTGGCCAAACAAATCAACTGTTTTTGTCCAACACTTAGATTTTCTCCGCCTTCAGAGATCTGATGACTCAATCCCTTCTCCAAAGTGTCCACAAATTGCTTGAGATGTGCCGACTCTAAGGCCCTCCAGATATCAGTGTCTGAGTATTGGTTGAATGGATCCAAATTGAGACGTAATGTTCCGGTGAAGAGCGCCGGGTCTTGAGGTATAATTGTTA